GTCAAACCAACGGTGGAAAGCAAGGGAGATATATAAAGGAATCAGTCAGCAGATGATGACAGGAACCTCACCTGGGGGTATGGCAGGTACTTGGCACAGATAATAGATAAGATGCCTCGAAACGCAGAGAACTCACCTGGGGGTACAATGGGGCTCTCCATCAGGAATGAGATGCAAGCCGCCCCTGTGTCCCTTCCGAAGAGCGTCACTCTTGAGGGGTCGCCATTGAATTGATTGATGTTCTCCGCGACCCAGTTGAGGGCAGCGATCTGATCGAGGAGCGCGAAGTTGCTCACCACGCCCCCCGCCCCGCCGCCATACGTGTTCAGAAATCCTGTAAGAAAGGGTAAAGAGATGCCTTAAAGGTATGTGCTTTAGGACTCTTCTTTTGATAGCTGCAGCGTGACAAGATATTGTATGAGAGGAAGATTTCATTTCACAAATGTTCCAATTACAAAGGCACTTTTCTCATTTGTACCAAATATCTGAGTGATATCCATGTTCTTTATGTTTTTCATTAGGACTGAACAGCACTTGGAACTAGAGTACAGTTAAATACATGTAATATGTATACATCAATATAAACATAATACTAAATGTACTGGTACCGGTCATCATTATAGTTGCCGGTGTTTACATTGTGATTATCGTCCTTTTTATGGTAATAATATTAATGGTAAAATGATAATGTCGGTAATACATCAGTGATGATGATAATAATAATAAACTACAGCCATATCAACATAAACGCAACAACATAAAAAACAAAAACAATGATGATAATAATGATAACTACAATAACAACAGTAATAACGATAATGATGAAATAAACGTAATAAAAAATTGTAATGATAAAAATAATGATAATGATAATAATAATAATAATAATAATAATAATAATAATAATAATAATAATAATAATAATAATAATAATAATAATAATAATAATAATAATAATAATAACAATAATAATTAATAATAACAATAATAGTAATAATGATAATAATAATGATAATAATGATAATAATAATAATAATGCTATTGATAATAATAATAATAAAGATAACAATAATAATAATAATAATAATAATAATAGTAATAATAACAATAATGATAATAATAATAATAAGAAGAAGAAGAAGAAGAAGAGGAAGAAGAAATTAAATAATAATAATTATGATAATAATTAGTAATTATGATAATGATAATAACAAGGATAATAATAATAATAATAATGATAATAATAATAATAATAACAACAAAAATAATTATAGTGATAATGATAGCGATGATGATAATGATAACGATAATAATGACAATAATAACAATAACAATAGTAATGATAGTAGTAATAATAATGATAATGACAATGATGATGATGATGATGATGATGATGATAATAATAATAACAATAATAATTACAATTATTAGTATTGCAATGATAATTATTATTATCAATATAATAATGATGACAATAATATTAATAATAATAATAATAGTAAAAATAGTACCAATATTATCATTAATAATTGTAATAATACTAATTATTACAATAATAGTGATAATAATAAAGATAATCATAATAATAGAAAAGTAACAATAATAATAAAGGTGATAGTAATAATAATGACGATAATAATGCTGATAATAAAAATAATGACGATAATAATGTTAATAATAACAATAACAATTATCACTATATTATCCTCATTATCTTTATTATTATTATATTATTATCCTTATCATTACTATATTATTATCTTTATAATAAAAATATTATTAATGATAATAATGATGATGATGATGATGATAATAATAATAATAATAATAATAATAATAATAATAATGATAATCATCATCATTATTATTATCACTATTATCATTATTATTATTATTATTAACATCATCATTATTATAATCACTTTATTATCTTTTATCATTATTATTATTGTTGCAATTATCATCATCAATGGGCTAACGTCAATGGGGGCGAGTAGCCGCATCCACTCTTTGCTTCCTGCCACGAGAGTTCCTCATGGCGAGTCTCCAGTCAGGCCCTCGACCCATCCATAACTCCTTGCGACAAGTCTGGTCGAGCTGCATAAATCATGACCTACTAGGTCGTCCCACGGGCCTCCTCCACCTAGGATTGTCTCGCAGAAAGGGAAACGTGAGCTGGTGTTCCCGGATTATGCAAGTAACCGGTCCCATGTCAGTCTCACGGACACATGGTCCTACCAACTGTACCCCATGATCCGGCAAAGAGACTGGTTACAAAAGGTATCAAGACGAGAATCCAAGGCATTAGATAGCGTCCAGGTTCCGCTTTCATAGAGCAAAACTGGCAGTATCAAGGCCTTGAGGATGCATGACTTGGTCCTTTGGCATTGATACCGACATCTCCAAATACTCTTGTTGATCGAGTTCATGGCTCCTGCTGCCAGACCAATCCATCTACTGACTTCTTGGTCTGCCAACCCAGAGATATGGACTACGCTAC